CCTGGGGCCCTGAGGCAAGAAGTAGGTGGAGTGGGGCAGGCCTTCCTAGTCTTTCTCAGCAGAAACCTGTCTGCCAAGAAAATTCTCAACATGCTTGGCATAGTGGCTTCTTTCCTGCCCAGGAGATCTTTGTCAGAGAACAAGCTCTGGCAGCTTTTGAAGTAGGCCATCTTCGGCGTTTTCTTCTGGCCCTGGTGACAAACGTTGCCAGTGTGCTGGGCCACTCCTCCGTCTTAGCAGATTCTCCCTTCTCGCCAGGGGCAGTTTTCCGGCTGGTCACTTGAGTGGATGTGAGAGGATATATGGGTCACTGTGTGCAGGTGGTCAGCTCCCAGAAAGGGCTTTTGGGAAGACAGTAAAAGTGGAAACAGCTGTCTCTCTGCCGTGTTAGGGCAGCTGAAGCACCCAGGTACTTTATTATAATCCAGCCCTCCTTGCCGGGGTGAAGAATACCTCCCCACCCTCATTCCTTGTGCCTGTCTCCAGGGAGTGGACAGTTTTTTTTCTGCGTCCTCCTCTCTTGCATACTTTTACCTTTTGTTGGGTCACAGATCATCCCAAAACTTGGTGACTGGAAACAGCAGTGATTTAGTTTGTATCACAGTGGGGTCCTTGGCCTTTCCAGGTTCCCAAGGCTGTGGTCTGCTGGAAAGTGACAGGGTCCTTGTCCCTGCCATGTTCAGGGTCCATCCATCTCCCGCCATCCTCCTGCTGCAGCACAGTGACAGACTGCTCAGGGGCTTGGATGCTGGTGGGGCAGCCGCTCTCTGGTTGTGATTTTTCTCCATTCAGGGAGCAGGGACCTGAAAAGCCATTGTCTCAGCAGTCAGTGGCAGGAAGAGGGTCTGTGACAGATGTCTGTATTTAAAGAGGGAGGAACGGGACACCTGTATGGGAAATGGTCCCTAGTGGTCCTGCAGTGCAGTCAGGATGGGCTGTAGGTGTGGCACCGGCATCTAGCATCGGTGTTTGTATAAGCTGTCTTTTGTTGTGTGATGGTTTCTTATTTCTCATGAGCCTTTGGTTGCTGGGCAGTTCTGCTGGTCCTTCTGGGCTCTCTGTAGTCTGCCGATGGCCTAGGATGACCTCACACACACTTGGGACCTCAGCCTGGTGCAGGAAGTGGCTGCTGGGTTTCTCACCCCGGCCAGGAGGAGTGCCAAAGTCACATTCACGGGGTGTGGACATGGAGAGGCGGGCTCAGTTATTTTTGTAACACGCTGACCTCTTCAGCATTGTAAGATGTGGGTAAGTGGCTTGTTTAGTGAAGTCACCTTGGCCACACTGTTGTTGTTCGCCCCCAGTTCTGAGTTGTGGTTGGTGGGGAAGGGTGGGGTGGGCGGTGACCCTGTCACTTAGGGATGTTCTGATTCTTGGGTCACACACCAAGGAGTGGGGGCAGGCAGCCTACAGCCTAACGTGCCTTCCAGATGATTCCAGTGCTGCTGAGATTTGAGAATCTGCCCTGGGAGGGAAAGCAGTGTCTACTTCTCTTCTGGCTGAAGACCCCAGGCCCTTACCACCCCGTTGTCACTCTTGTCAGCAAGCATCTTTGTCTAGAGCCTCCTTTGGAGTGGCCTCTAAGTTAGGATATTCCTTGTGGTTTCTCCCCAGGAGCCTGTCTGTGACTGTGTGTCTTGCTTGTCACTCAAGGACATTTATGGACTGCCAGTTCCATGCCACTGCTGGCACAGGGAGGTAGAGGTGAAAGATGTGGTCCCCAAACTCCCACACTTTCCTGTCCAGCAAAGGGGACAGTGTGATACCGAGGAAGAATTTGAGGTGGCAGTCCAGTTAGGCAGGGAAAGTGACAGGTTTTTTTCAGTCCACATTGAGCTTAAGATGATGTGGATGCCAATGATGATTCCCTAAGAGCTCCAGTGCAAAGGCAGGGCTTGTGCCTGACTGTGGACTTTTCACATAGGCAGAAATTTACAGTGATATAAAGGTAGCTGCTGCTCAGAATCAGCTGGAGTGTTTTAAACATGCAGACCGGGTCTGCCTTCTCCTTGCTGTACATGTCCCAGGTGATTCTGATGAGCCAGATTTGGAGAAGCAGTGTTTTCCTCTCCAGGCCTGGCATTCAGGGAGGGCAGAGGAAGAACAGGCTGCCCAGCTTGGAACCAGGGGATGTCTTGGGTTCAGGGCTTCCCTGGGTAGTCTGTGTGTGAAGATTCTTCTGGAGCTGGGGGTGTTGGGAGAAGAGCAGAGATCAAGGCCATTGTGGATGCCAGGCAACTGGAAAGTTACAAGAGGGTGGCTTGGATGATGAGGCTCTCACACAGGACGCTGCCTCCTGCATGGCTGGTGACCAGAGTCAGCAGGCTCCAGACTGCGGTGGAGGGAGGATGGGCAGATGGAGGTGACTGTCCGGGAACTTCAGAGGAAGGAGTGAGTGGAGGAGGCGGGAGTGGGTGAAACTTGAGCATGCTGCCCAGGGCAGAGTCAGAAGAGGAGGGTAGATGGGAGAGGGAGCTGGGAAGAGGGCTGCTGCTAGTCTGTATCCAGGAGGAAAGAAGGATGGATCCCAGAGGCCAGCTGCTAGGACTGGCCTTGAAGAAAAGGAGGGCCACCCCGCCTCATTCTGGAGGCAAGGAGGTAAGGGAAAGGATGAGAAAACTGAAGTTTGTAGCTGCTGAAACTCACTTGTGTTTCATTAGGCTTAAGAAAGGAAATGAACCCCTGCCCCCGAAATCCTTTAGTTCTAGCTTCTTGTGTTAATGCCAGGAGGGTTGGAGGTGCAGGATAAAGGCAGCGGGCAGGATGAGCAGGGTGCAAGGTCCCTGCCTGGACTCTTGACATTCTTTGGGGACATTCTCAAACATGACCTTGCCAGGGTGCTCACCTGGAGTACTTGACACATTTGAAAATAATTGCAAGAGGCTATTTTTGGGCTGCCTACTGGCTTCCCAAACCATCCCCACTGAAGAAATTAACTTGCACAGCAACTGCTGGTCATGGACATTCTTGGCACGTGCAGGGTCTTGGACTGGTTTTAAAGCCTAGAATCTGCATTCAGGCTTCCTATGTTTTGTGTCTAAAAGACATTGGAAACATAGTTCCGTGACCTGAAAGTGTTGGCCATTGGCCAGGATAAACAGTTCAAGGGCATCTCCATCAATCCCCCGGTTGAAATGCAGAGTGCAGTGCTTAAAGTAGAAGTGAAGGTGAATGAAACTTAATTTTCAACACAATGCAGTGTGTGTGGCTCATTAGCTGAGCAGGCCATGGGCTGGCTCCATGTGTAGTCCGTGGATGATCCTGGCAGTTAGGCCCTGGGTCCCCTAGGCTGCTCCTTCCACAGGTGCAGAGCTCCAAGAGACATGGTCTCTGTATGCCCCTTTCGTATGATAAGTTCAGGATACATTTCTCATGTTGTGTATGACATGCAGTACATGGTCCTTACTTGTTTGTTTTTGCTGGGATGGTCAGTGGGTTCGTGAGCTTTTCCTTTTGGGGTACAGTCTTAGCGGGACCCTTTGGAAGCAGGTTGCCTGGGACTGTTGGCTTCTGTGTCACTGCTGTGTGCTGCTCCCGTGGGGAGCTGCTGTAGCACTGTTTCTCCAGTTGGAAATGGGCTGCCTGGTGCTCAGCACCCCCTGGAAACAGTCACTTGGGACCCGGTGAGCTTTGCCCTGAGAGGCAAGTGTGTGGCGGCTCCTGACATGCTGCGAAGCCCCTCACCTCAGTGCTGCTGACGGGGCCATGTCCTGTGTCCGTCACCTAGTGTGGATACCGCTGCCTCCTCTATACCTCCTTTTCAGTCTGTGTCCTTTCCCCTCTTGCTTTTTTCTTGTGACACTTCCGTGTCTGTGAAGGGTGTATAGATGTCGAGGTTGGTCCCAGCATCCTTTCCCTCCCAAGTGCAGGGGGTCTGAGGATAAATGTGTCTGTAGGGTTTGGTGGCCTCAAGTCCTTTCATGCCCTGTGGGGTTCCAGGCTGGTGTTGCAGCAGAGGTTCTGCTGGCTTTTAGGACTGGGGAGGTGTTTACTCGAGATCCACAGTGTCCTTGGCTCTGCTCTCTGCCTCCCCACCCCCTGTTTCATGACGGCCAGTGTTCCCAGGTGCCCCTGGGGGTAACGGTTTCCTATATTTCTTCACGGGTTCCTATTGGAGTGGACACCTCAGTCCAGGCACCCTCACTGCTTGGACATGGGTAGCATATGCACGTTTGGAGCCTGCAGGTTGGCAATGAAGAGCTTCCTTCCGACATTTGGTTTTTTTTTGGTGCTACTGGGAATTGAACTGATGGCCTTGCAATTGCCAGGCAGGCGCTGTGCTGCTGAGCTGCATCCCTGGCCCCCTCATCTGATGTTTTGAGGATGTAACATCTGTGTGATGAGAGAAAACAGGCTGATTATTCTCCAGGATTGGCTAGGTTGTTCAGGTGAAGGCATAGGTGTAAATGAAAACACGTAGAACTGTGTTTATTAGACTTGAAAATAGTCCATTAGAGGTAGGGTGTACCTTTTCACTGTTAGCTAGTTAACTTGTGTTTTTGCAAATACTTATCCAAATTTAGGAAATTTGGGTGATGGGTATGGAAAAAAGCAGAAGTTTTGTTTAGATAAGAGTGGGTTTTTTCCTTTCCTTTGCTTCTTTTCCCACCACCCTGGGTTTTCTTTGGAATGGTGGGGATTAAACCCTTGCATGTTCAGCAAGAGCCCTGCCACCGAGCTACATCCGTGGGCCAGCACGTTGTTTGGTAAATTCATATAAACATGTAGGTTTTTATTTACTCATTATATAAAAGTTGGGGGTTTTGCCCCTTTTTCCTGCATTAAGTGGGTAATTGTTCTCATTTACACACTTGCTGCATTTAGTAGTCTTATGGGACCTGGGACCCTGACGAACTATGGTCACGAGCAGCCTGACCCTGGGCACAGAACACAGACTGGCGCCCCCAGGACTGCGGTCCACTGTGGGAGAAATAAGACAAAGAAACGGTCATGGCGCTGGGAGGTGTTAACAGTTTTCCTTCTTCTCTTCTCTCCTGCAGAACCTGAAAGCAGACCCAGAGGAGCTTTTTACAAAACTAGAGAAGATTGGAAAGGGCTCTTTTGGTGAGGTGTTCAAAGGCATTGACAATCGGACTCAGAAGGTGGTTGCCATAAAAATCATTGATCTGGAAGAAGCTGAAGATGAGATAGAGGACATTCAACAAGAAATCACAGTGCTGAGTCAGTGCGACAGTCCATACGTAACCAAATATTATGGATCCTACCTGAAGGTAAGGCTTAAAACAATGCCACTTTCCATTACGCAGCACTCAGCTGAGAGCCTGGTGGGGTTGCAAAGGACTCCAGCAGCGTGGCAGGTTTTCAGAGGAAGGAGAGTAGCTTCGACCTTTGTGATCAAAAGAACCTGACTTTGCCTGTTTTATCATCTTAAATGTCACCTGTAGAAGTGTATTTTTGGTAAAAGTGTTGGATGTAGGCATTTTCTTTCAAACAAGAAAATATTTTTGAGTGGCATGTTGGCATCAAAACCATACCTTATTATTATAACAGTAACCATTAATCACCTAATGTTAACAAACTGTACGAGTAGTGATAAACACTCGTGCCAGCCTAAGAGAAGGAATCTCTTGATATTTTCAGTCATCATCTGGGGTTTAATACCACGGAAAAAACTCCCTGGAATCAGTAATGGTGGTTCGTTAGCTAGTTGGTCTACATTTTCAAGAATGCTAGGTGAGTAGATAATTAAAGTAGGAATTTTAATAATTGAACATTAAATTCATCCTTGGTTTTTGACTAGTTCTTGACCTGGGAAAGAATAATACTCAAATTTTTTCTGATCCTGTGTGGAACCTTTTCTTGATTTTTGATGTTTTAGGGTCTTCCTGTTCTATCCCTAAGAAAGTCCATGACTGTGCTTGTGTCCTAGGTTTCTAGACATCTGTCCATGTTACTGAGCTTAAGATTTAGTGTGGCTTTTTTTTTTTTTAAATTGGTACCAGGGATTGAACTCACGACTGCCTGCTTGCAAGAGGCGCTTATGCCACTGAGTTAAATCCCCAGGCCCCCAATTTAGTGTGTTTTAACATATTCCCACTGGCCTGAACCTCCTCCAGGGTTACATTTGTGACTGTCCCAGAGGCCGACTTGTACACCTTTTGGGCCTGTCTTGTGCTGCCCAGTGGGGCAGTCATACATGTACCACAAGTGGGTCAGGGTCACCTGGCACAGAGACGTATTACAGTTTTGTCATGACCATGTTAAATTCCTGAGTTACCTTCTACATAAACCTCCTTTTATGAAAAGAGAGTAGCCAGGGATTTGGCAGCATAAGTACCTGCCTGGCAAGTGTGAGGTCTTAAGGTCAATCCCTGGTACCCTCCCACTCCTACCCCAAAATGAGAAAAGAGTATAGATCTTGGTTTTGTGGGCCTATGATAATAAAGTGTAAGTCAAAGTTTGGAGATTTTGAGAGCCATTGATTTACTAAAGTGAATAGTTAAAGCAAGTCAAAAATTGAGTGGTAATCCTATTCTTTTGTTGTTGTTGTTGTATAAAGGTTGGCAGTATGTCATAGGTCAGGTGTAGCATTTTGAAATGGAAACAGTAGGTTTTAGAGGCAGATATCACTGGAGTTGAACCTTCCCATCATTTACCTGTGTTGCCAGAACTTTTTAATAAAAACTTCCTTGTTTCCTTATTTGTAAAACAGAAAATTACCGTGTTTTCTCATTGTCACTGGATTGGGGGTGTGGCTCGGGTAGAGGGCTTGTTTTAAGTATGCAAAACACTGGAAAACAACAACAAAACAAAAACTAGTTGCAAAAATTAAATGGGGATTACGTGAAAGTATGTGCATTTGGTAGTTTTTTAATGACCTTTAAATTTATTCATACCTCACCTATTCAGTTACTTTGAAATAAAGGTAATTTGCAGTGAAAGTATCCAGTGAGAAACCAAGAAAACCAGGTCCAGAGAAGCTGGAGGAAGGTTGATGGCAAACTGTATTGCCATGATGGTGCATCAGGGTTGGGTCCTGACAAGGCAAAGGGAAAACAGGATAAATTTTACCATTCTCTTGATACATGAGAACACATGCATCTTCCTTCGGGGCACGCCAGTGTGTCTCAGTATTAAGTTCTTATGAAGAACCAACTGCTGAAGGAAAAATCTCCCCTTGGACTATGCCCTGGTGCTGTTCAGTGTGAGTGGGTAGTGCTACATAGAGCACATGTTGAGTTGCAGGTTAGGTGCTTTGCTGCATTGTATGGAAGAACCTTACCAATCAAATGGTTTTGAGGGTTCATACCAGCTAAGCATAGAGACTAAAGACCAGTGGTTTAGAGTGCTGTCCTCAGCCTCAGCCCAGCAGCAGACCATCCCTGCATGCTGGGGTGATTGGCTGTCCGATGACCCTGACTGTATATATCTAGGGATTCCATCCAGTATGTCCTCTCCTGATCTGAGTCACTAAGGCAAAGCATTAGGCTCCAAAATCCACCTAACCTTGATCTAGGGTCTCCTAGTGTGTTTTATTTAGTTACCGTGATGCCAGCTGGTACAATAAATTCCTTACATTTCCAGTGATTCAGATATGTTAGGAGGTTGTCCCTTCCTCATGAATTGCCCTGACCTGGCTCTTTCCCTTCATACATTGATTCAGGAACCTGGGTTCCTCTGTGTTGTTTTCTTAGATATGTGGCTGTGTGCACCTGCTGAAGTGGGTGGGTCAAGGGAGAAATGGAGGTTCCTGTGAGAAAATTTGATGTGCTCAGTCCTAGGCAGAGGATGCATTACTTCCGCCCATGGCCTTTGGCCAGAACATGGCCCATGACCATACCTGACCCAGAAAACTGGGAGGGCCATCAAATTTTGGGCTGAACAGGAGAGGAAATGGACTTGGTACACACCTCCAAGTCTTTTACAAAATCCACCAACTCTACAGGGTATAGAGTAACTCCTGGGGTGCTAATTGATCAGATACAAAGTTTCAGTAGTTTTGTCTAAAATTTTAAACATATTTTACCAGGCAGATTTGTCCCTTAGGAAATATGACTGATGCAGCAATGCTAGGAATAACATTGTCCCCACTGTGAAAAATTGCCCTTGATTTTGGAAGTCATGTAAAAGATCATTCTATGATGAAATAATATTGTTACAGTCAGGCAGGATTGGAATCCAGAGCTGTAATTCTGCCTGCCTGGTCTTGTATGATGGAATTCTGAGTAATCGTTGGACCCAGAAGAGGACAGTGGTGAGCCAGACACTCAGGCTGTTTGTCATCGCGATAGGCGCATAGCAAGTCTATGTTAGTGTAGTCCTGACAGTCAGGTGAGACACACAGTAAGCTGATTGCTGAGACCAGTGAGTCTCAGCTGCAAACATTTTGTGGTGTGTATGGTTTTGTTGCCCTTTCAAGCACTTACTAGTAGCATTCAGAGCTTGTGTTCTTTGCTCTTTAAGTGATGGGAATGAAGTTAGAATTTCACTCTGTTTCGAGGGGCTTTACCATGGCCACATCAGACAAAGGAGAGATTGCCAGAAGCCTTTGTCTTTGTTGGTGGGTTAACATTCAAAGGTTTTATAACCATTTTTATTTTACTCATTTAATCTAGAAAAAGAGGTTAAAAATAATGGGAAAAGGGTGTAAAAAGACTAGTTGTTACCAAGGACCAGTAAAACTGATAATTTTGATTGTGTAGCTATATGACAAATCACCGAATTGCCTTGCAGCATTATTTTCTCCTTAAAGATTTAAAAACAGAGATAAGGACAATTTAGAGGAGAGCAGAAACAATGCAACATTGAGCATTTTATTTACATTAACACATGTGAGGCCTGGAAGTGTATTAAAGATTATCACTTACTATTAAATTTCATTAACTGTGATTTAAGTATTTAATTTTGGGGAAATTAAACCAGGTAAAATAATGAGAAGTCTCCATCTCCCAGTCAGTGGAGTTTTCTCAAAACATAAAAGCGGCATCCACAAGGTCAGACTGAAGCTGTGTGTGGGAGAGGGATACGGCAGGGTCAGGTAGATATTTTGGGTTTGGCTTCAGTTGGGCTATGAAGACCTAAAATGCTAACGGTACAGTGTGGTTCCTGGTTCGCGGAGTGTTTTCTGCCCGACCTCCGGGCCCACGATGTCTCAGCAGTGGGGCCTCTTGGTGGTTGTTGGGGAGATTACAACTCTGCCTTGAGATGCAGTCAGGATTCAGTCAAATCCTGATGGTCACAGCCGGGATTTGAGTCTCAGATGCTAGTGCAGGACCAGCATCCTTAGGGATACAGTGCAGGTGCATGGGCTGATCAGATACTGTCTTATCTGTATCAATTCGTTTTATTGCTCTGTTTTATTCTCTTTAAAATTAAATTAAAAATAAGGAATAAACACATGCCTTATTTTTTTATCACAGTAAAAGTCACACTGCCATTAATCTTCCTCAAAATACTCTCTTAACTTGAGCACATTTGTCCCATTGTTCTTGCCAGTTTGCTAAAAACAGTTCTGGAAATCCTCTTTGTGAGTGTCTTTATAAGGTGTGATAAAAAGACAGAGAATGCTGCTGCTGAGTGCCAGGCTTGTAAAATATTACGATGTGTCCTTATCCACCTTATTCACGCATCTGGCACCATGTGACTCCTGGCTCTTCTCCAAAGTCAAAATGACGGTGAAAGGTAAATGTTCTGAATCGACTCAGGACGGGACAGTTACAACCATGCAACTAAAGATGCTCATTAAAAAAGGCTTCCAGAACTGCTCCAGAAAGTGACAAAGACAGTGGAATCAGTGTGTTTCGCTGAGGGGAGACGGATTAATGGCAGTGTGTCTTATACTGTGATACATTTTTAAAAATTTAAATATTCACCGTATTTTGGAATTATACCTCATAAATTACAGTGATTTTTATGGGATTACTGCAGGATTTTGGATCATGTATGTAGTAGGTTTTTATAAATGATAAAGATTGTTTTTATTAAGAGGAAAGTTATCTGAGCCAGCTGACTCAAAAATTTGTAAAAAGCAGATTGTTAGCATGCTTAAAAAATGAGTTTATCATTTTTCTTTTAATAGTAAGTGACTTAGTTTTCTAACTTAGTTTAGTTTAAAGGAAATCAATTATAAGTTTCCAAATAAACAGAAAAAAAGAGAACTGGAGGTAAGTCAGTGGTATTATGTTGACTGGCATGTACAAAGCCCTAGACTTAAGGGGTGGTGTTGGTGGTCAGGAACAGAAAAAGCGTGTGCTTTTCAGATCTTAATTTG